GTACGTTGATAGAAAAAGTAATGAAAGCCAGTCGAGCAAGTAGAAGAAGAAGACGAACGAGAGTTGAAGTGGGGATTAGGAGCTGGAGGCTGGCCTGATTGGTAGCGCCAACAAAGGCTAATTCGAGCGCTCCGGCTACGGCTCCGGCTCCGGCTGACTGGCTGCACTAGCGCACAATAATTGGTAAAAGTCGAAGGAAGGATGGAAAAAAGAGAAAAAAATGCCAAAACAACAAAACAACACGAGCCAAATCGAAAAACAAAAGACGAAAATTGTGTAAAGTGGTTTTATGGAGCAACAAAATAGAAAAATGGGATTTACCACACACACACACACACATGGACTCTCGCACAGCTTGGCACTTGGATTGCGGCTAAGAAGCGAACGCCTTAAGGTTAAAGTAAAGATTGCAGCAGCGGCTCAAATGGATTTACGTGTTGCGAATTTTAATTAAACGATAAAAAAGGCCAACAGACATTTGCCACAACGTGGCCGAGTCGAGTCGAGTTGGCAATGGATGACCAGGCGCACTGCGTGTGCTTAGCCCAAGAATTTATGGGGCCAAGTCGGAGGCCTTTCCGAGGAGTAGCTGCTGCTGCTGCATCATTTGGCCAACCAAAGACGGACTTTTTAGCTATTCATTGCGCCAGCCGGTGTAAAATTTAATTTACGAGCTTGTATTTTCAATATGCCCAGCTCCACATCTCCACAGCTCCACAGCTCCCTAACAGCCAACTCCATCTCCATCTCCATCTCCATCTCCGGCTCTTAAAAGTGATTAACATTAAATCATATACAAGGCAGGGCCATATCTTTGCCGGCCACCTGACCACACAGTTCCCGCCGCAAACAATTACATTTTGTGCACGCGCCCTTCATTCATTTTCACGCACGTACGACTTTTCGCACACAATTTTCACCTTGCGGCCTAGCAAAAAAAAATCGAAAATGAAAATGAAAATAAAGGCAAAAGCATTTACAGCTACGCATTTTGTTTGCTAATTTCGCAGCGAACAGCTTATCAACGAGCCGCCATTAGCTCGAGACACAAGACACGACCCCAAATTGACACCCAGCAGTGGCTGCTCCTGGAGGGGGTCGGGGTCGGGGTCGGGGTCTTGGACGGGGACGGGCACGGGGTCTTGAACTTTTAGCCATTTGTTTGATTTTGTGCTTATTGGACTTGCGTTTTGCATAAGCAATAAACATAAATTATCGACAGCGTCCAGTAACGATGCTGACATTTATTTATGCCCATAACTCATTGAAATCGAAATACCAGCGAAAAGCGAGCGCGCAAAAGTATGCTATGATATTTTCTATGCAGTTGCGCGGAGTGTGTGTGAGCGTATGTGTGTGTCTAGTGTGAAAGGAAGCAATTGAATAGAGCTATATACGATTTTTTTTTTTTTTAATTTGCATCTACCTCTTACAACTCTATAGTTAGAGGTGATATTTGAGAATTAACTTTATGTTAAACGTCTGTATTAGTTAGTTTAAAAATAAACAATATCTGCATTTGGCAGTCTTTAACACCTGTTCGGCATGTTGACAGCCGTGCTGACAGAGTGAGTAATTCGACCTCGGGGCATACCCTATTTAATATGTACAATTAACAGTGCTATTGCTTTAGTGCCTTTAATGACAAATTTGAAAGAGATTTCATGAAGCGTGAATGAAACATATTAAAATCTCAAAAAAATATGCACCATTAGAAATATTTATCTATTTAGGTATTTATAACAAGGGATAGGCCTGACTAATACTTCATAGAATCTGAAAAATATTTAAATAAATGCATAAATAAATATCGCAAAAAAAAAACAACTTGTTTTTGTAGGTCAGATGGACTGGCCAAGTATAATATAGCTCCATTAAAATATCTATATCTACATGTATATAGTAGAAATAGAAAAGTCTCGAGAACCGAGGAGCACGAGGTATTTTTTACTTAAAGTTAATTCTACAGAAGACTTAAAGAGGCCCCCTTTTGAATGCGTATTATAAACTATTATATTATTCTTTAACCTATGTATTATTATATATTATTGAACTCTTTACCAACGTATCGGATATCGAGATGATTTATTTAATGCGTGGCTATTTCTCTAGCATGTCTGATTCTTTGATGAGTTTCAATTTTGTTGCATTTCGCTTTTTGCGCCATTTTCGTGCCACTTGTTGATTACTTTTAAACGAGTTTTGCTTCGGGGGCGTTTCTTAGCCTGGCGCTGGCCCGTTGATTGATATTTATGCGCGTTTGATTGAAGTGTAATCAGCAGTCGGTGCCGCGGACGACGGGGACATGTGGGTATTAGCAGCAGCAAAATGGGATGTAAGTGAGCAAATCGTAATTAAAAACAACGCAACAAACGACGCTCCAAGGCACAAACAATATGCATTAAGGAAAGGGCCAAAGCACCCAAATGGCTGTGACAAGGACTCCCAGTCCGACTCCAATACCAACTGCTGACTGACTGCTGACTGCTGACTGATGGCAATGACGCGGCGCTGCTAATGAAAATGGTTGCATAAACAAGCGCAACGAGCACATAATGAACAGAGAGGCAGCAGCAGCAGCAGCCAGGCTGGCAAACAAAGGGAGGCAGTCAACACCCGGAGACGCCGCCCGACAAAAGATGAAAGCCGCTTTGCCACTCATAAATATGTACACTGACAAATGCGAGACAAACAGTGGGACAAAAAGGCTGAAACAGAGCTGCCAGCCACTCGTGTGTGCCTAGATAGACAAAGCGCCCTTTGGGCACAGTTTGTCAGACCGACTGTCATTCAGTCTGTCCGTCTGTCTGTCCCACCCCTCGGTTAGTCAAGCACTCGGGCGCCTGGGCGTAAATCAAAGTGAAAAGCGTGCTAATTGCATTAAAAGCATATAAACAAAATGCAATGCAAGTGGCTGGCATAAAAAAAAAAAAATAACTAAATAAATATATAAAGAAGCCAACACCACGCCCCAGCTCTGCCCCCGGTCTATGCCTGGTGCTGATGTCCTTTTGTGCATATGCGCTCTGTGAAATTAAGCAAATAAGCACGAGCTCATGCCGAGCTGTGTGGCAACTTTGTTCCCGGAATCCGTGCAAGCGCCTCAGCGCCTTTCACAATTTTTAATTGCTGCACAAACTTTAAATGTGCCACAACTTGGCCAGGACTAGTTCTACTGCTGGAGGCGTTTCATTTCAAGTGATGTTTAATTTGTGCGGAATTTTCGCCCAAGATTATTAAAGTTGAAGTGCTTTAAATGCGACCGGATAATGGGCTGGGGCTGGCCAAGTAAATAAACCAGCAGTAAAGTCTACTTAGGTATCGATTTTAACATAAGGCAACTCTTCAAATTAATAAAACACAGCTAAGCTCAAAGAACTTTATGAACAAAAAGTGCTCGAACCTTTGAATAAATAATATACTAAATAATAAACAATAATAAATGCCCATGGGTTTTGCTTTATGGTTGTCAATAACGACCTCATAGTCGAAATTCAATCGTACAATGTGCTGATATATGACACGTAATCAAATGTTTTAAGTGCATGCATGGCATACGCAGCACCGACCCTGGCCTATAAGTGCAACCTCCTTCCCCCCCATAAGTCAAAACAAATATGTTCGCATTAAAACAGACGTATAGAAAGCAAATGAATGTGGGGGCGAGTGAGAACTGCAAATCCGACAAGTAAATATAATAACAATAAAAAAGGGAAACAGCGCGGCATGAATACAGCCAAGGCGAGATATTATGACAGCAATAAAAAACGTATAACGCGCAGCAGAAAAAACAATGAGAAGCAAGGACAAGCGCTGACAATGACAATTTCAGTTCCAGTTCCAGTTCCGGTTCCAGTACCAGCTTTAGTTTCAGTTCCAGTTGCGCTTACGTAAAAAGCATTGCCTACTTTTTGGGGCAACGCAGAAGCAGCAGGCGGCAGCTTCGATTTTCAATGCGGTTTTATTTAAAGACTTAATAACATTCATTATTACATATTAACACAGCTAAACATAAATATTTACTTAATATATTGTAGTTAGATACTTTGCATATTTTTCCTTAGACCTAGACATTCAACAAATACTCATGCAGAATACCATGGATAATTTTCTCAAGATATGCACATATACGTGTTCCATATGTGTGTGTGTGTGTTTAGGTGTGCCTTAAGCAGTTAAATATTGCATAGAGTAAGAAGAAATAACTGTACAATTTGTGCCTACAATTTTATTAGCCTACTCTGTAGAAATTTACAGTGGCGTCTGCGTCTTGGGTTTGTCTCTGCATTTTTTGCTGGCTTTTCAAAGTTAATTAAAATTCGTAAATTGCCTAAAAATTGCATTGGATTTTCGCTTATTAATCTCAATCATATAAGCTTTGCTATTTATCAATCTAATTTAATTTTTCATGTACTTATCGGTAGTTAGAACAATTAAATTTACCCAACTATTTTATGTAGTTTTTAATTGTACACGAAAAGTGTTTTTGATTTACGTTAAGCATCAATATTGAAGACTCTATTTGCAGTTAATTTAATCTTAACTTTAGCTATATATTTTTCGATTTTCCGATTTGCATTAACAGGATGCTTAGAAACTAGGCTTGTACAGATTTGGCTAGTTAAGTACTTGCATATCTTGATTTCTGTTTAATTTTTCGTATTTTTTGGTAACAACTTTGAGCAATTTCTTCCCTTGCCTAAAAGCAAGCAAGGAGCAACGTACTGCACGCAGTAGCCCCTCCGTAACCCCTCCTAAAATATCATCTCTAATTTTTGAAAAATACGTATGTCTGTCTCATTGTATGTACAGTAGCTAGGCAGCTACAGAATTTTGATTTGCCGCACGGCATATGCGGCGTATACTTGATGTGCGTATTTTGTGTTTTCACGTTTTCTGTTTATCGGCTTTGTGCATTTACGTAGTTGAAATATTTACACAGATTTAATGAGTTTGGCGTAGCTCTAGTGTCGGGCCTGGATGGGGGCTGGAGGTGTCATACATCTTCGTTAATTGTTATCTGCACGGCGTGGATGTGCTTAATTGGGCCAACGGGCGGCGGTCATGTCGACAGCAGCTGCTCCTCGGCTTGTTACTCCTCCTGGGCGTGGGCGTGGGCGTGGACGTGGACGTGGACGTGGGCATAGCACACAAACCGGCGGCGGCGGCATTACACAGAAATGCTATTAAGACTGGCAGCGCGTATAGCGAAATGCGTGCCATGGATTTGGACGCTAATATCCTGGCGCCCGATGAAGCCGCTGCGGCGGCGGCGGCAGACGTGGCCGCCGCAGGACGACGACTCTTCTTGAGCTGCTTGTCTGCTTTTCCAGATAGTTAAAGAGAGAGAGAGAGATGAAGAGGAGGGGTACAGTTGATGCACTGCACTGACAACTGTTGCACAGATGATTGATGTTGCGTCCACACTCACCTTCCAGTGATTTGTCCAGCTGGCGCACCGTCTCCCTGGATTCCAGCACGGGTATCCGCTGATGCTTATCACTCTCGACACTCTCCTCGTTGCTCTGCCAGTAGACCGAGCTGATTTTGGCGACACACTGCAATAAGAGAAGCCGTCGCTATAGTCTTTCCTCCATCAGCAGCTGTTTACTGGCTCATGAAATCTGTGTCGGTCAGCGGCGGGAAAAAGGGGGGGGCAAATGTGTCTGCGCGTTGACGGCACACTAAAAGTTTTATGCTTTCATTAACTGGCACCAGGCGCCCAGCTGATAACCCAAAATGACCCGCATATGCAAACGGACATTGGCCATGGCCAGGCAGTAGTCGGTCGAATCATAAAAGACGTGAAATTTTGTGGCCCCTGCGACACACATTGCACTCGCCCACGACTCCACCCCCAATCCACCATCAGATAGCAATCAACATGCGCTGTCATGTAATGTTGCCGCAAATTGAATTGAGTCGACGTTGGCCAGTGTAATGTTTCAATTTGAGGGGGTGGGCCATAATCAGCTTAAAGCCGATCCGGGCTGCCATAACTCACCTTCAACTTCATGTCGCCATGCTTGAAATGTCATCCGCGCACACGAAACTCGAGGCCAAGGCGCGCCACCTCGAGACCCTCCCGGCCCACCGACAGCGGCTCGTAGGGGCGCAACAGCGAGCGGTTCGCGTGCATGCCGTTAATCAGCCAGCCGAGATGGCAGACGGGCTTCGATGGCGCCGAAGTGCAATTGACGCGCACCATATCGCCAATTTGGTATCGCGGCTGACCGCCGGTGATTTGTGGTCCATGCTTGGGTGTGACTGCAATGGTAGATAAGTGCACAGCGTGTAAGTTCCTGGCTCAGGTAACTATATGTAGAGAACAGCAGATGAGGTCTCGAATTCCTATATAAGTGTAGGTGATTGTTGTAGAAAAAATGTCCAGCTCAGCTGATTTGCCGACGGAACTTCCTGAAAATATCCAATGCGTTCCCAACCTATACGCACGCCTTGGATTGCATAATGGGAATTTACTCCTCACGAGCTAAGTTCAGATTGAAAGCAATTAGATGAAGTTCCTCGATTCTTGATTCTTCGTGCGATCTTACTGAAAATATTTCATGCGTTGCCAATAGGTCTTCACCATTATTCCATTCCATTTTTTTATAATATAAAGGTCGCTTTTAAAACGCCTAAACGAGCCTCTTTATTGAGTTCGATTTAAAATTGGACTTGCAGATTTAGTTATTCAAATAACTCTGCACAAATGCAACAACAATTGGCAACAGCAATCGGAGACAACAATCGCCAAGTTCCATGTGCAATTATTGCACATTTTTTTGCTGTTGTCGTAGTCGTGTCTGAATCTGACCTGGATGTGTGCCAATTGGGTCAGTCAACCAGGCAGCCAGCAGATTCAGTTTCACTTGAAATCCACCAATGAATCCATATAAATCGACTGCAATGCACACACACACACACACACACACACACAGACAGATATTATAATCTGGCTTTTAAAAATGCTTGTGCATCTGATGTCTGGCATTTGCTAAAATTCCTTCACGCTGTCCGTTCGCCGTAATAATGATAAAAATAAAAAATAATAATAATTTCGATTGCTCTTGTATTATTATTTGCCGCCTGCTTCCGGATACAGCGAAATTCTGTTCGCGGCCAGAAATAAAAATTCAAGTGAAGATAAAAGAGAAAACCGAAATGAAAGAAAAGAAAATCTTGTGCAGGCTTTGTATGTTCTTGTCTCTTGCTGTCTTTTTGTTTGTTGCTGCTTTTCTTCTTTTTCTTGTTTTTGCGATTGTTTTAGCTCTGCTCAAACTATTATTTTCGGTCTTTTATGTCCACGCGCTCCAGACATTGATTGAGCTGTTGTTACTTTCATTCATTATTTTTATTATTATTTGCCCAGCGTATATTTTTTATATTATTTGTCATTAGGCGCATTTTTCACTTTCCGCCGTTCGTTCCAAAAGAAAAGCGAAAATAAACCCTTTCTTTGTTGTCCAATTGCTTCTAATTGTTTGGCCACTTTGTTGGAGCCGACATTGTCGAGCTGCTTGGACAATGCTCAACCAGTTGCTCGGCCGTTGCAAAAATTGTCCGGCCTAAATTGACAAAGGGAAAGATTTCCAGTCCAAAAATAGATAGGTCTATCAATTTGGCAATACTATCAAGCATATCTCTTGCATGCGGAAGTAATACCTAAAGCTGGCCAGGATATTGCCTTGCAGCTTATGATAATCTAATTAAGTGGGCAATGTATGCGTTGCTCAGTTGACGTTATTTTCCGTTTCTGTTTTTCAATTTCCGCGCTTGTACTTCAATTATCCCATTTCACGAGCAGCTATCAAAGCCATCTGAGCCCACTAACTGGGTCACCTGTGTTGCGCCTCGTCATTTAGCTGTGCGCCCGTAATCACATTCAATTATTTTCAGCCACATAAAAACACACTCACACACACACACACACACACACATACACTGGTAAGCTTATATATACTGCCGCATTAATTTCAATATTCCGGTAATTTAAATCATTTGATATTTTTTCGCCTCATACGTTTCTTTTTTTAGGCTCTCGCCATTAACAGGTGATTCATTAACTTTATAGATCTGCAGCTGATTTAATCAGCTTAGGCCTGAGGGCAGGCGTGGCTGGGATGATTGCGATTCGGAACGCAGCTTGGCAAACATTAAAGTCAAGTAATCATGTAATTCCCCTAGCAAAACGGAAGCGTGCAGCTTTGATTGCTGCCCCCTCATATACTCCTATGCCCCACACATATATATATATATATAGTATGCCAGCTACTTAGTTAGTTGGACTAATTATTTGATATACACAGTTTGATAGTCCTCCTCTTGCCTGGCTCCACCTGACGGAAATGAACACAAAATTGCCCGGGGAGTAACAATTGAGACCCAATGCTAATGTCAATGATAATCATAATAATGTTGGCCCCCTTTCCCCCTTCTCCTTGCCATGTTCTATGCTAAGCATATAGAACCAAATGAATATTTGAAATGGGCCCTCAGTAAACAAGCCCAGTTTATTTATTTTGCTTGTGAGTGAGACTTTTTTTGATAGGAAAAGAACGCTTTTTTTGAGTAGAGACAAAAACATAATACATATAAAACCCCAACTGCAGACAACAAATAATTAAATAATAACAAGAACATGATTGTGGTCAGATTTTCCTAACTTTGCAAGCTTTTCAGTTTTTCTGTAACTCAATATATAAACATTCAACTACGATTATATGCCACGACAATTTGTGAATACAGGGTGCCTTCAAGTCGTACACTCTCTTCTCAGCTGTGTGTGACTGTGTCTGTCCGTGTGTCAAGCGTCAAGTTGGCAATAACTGTAGCCCGTTTGAAATGAAGGCTGGCAAATGCGAAAATGGCGAATAGCAACTGGGATTTATTCCTTGCGCTCTTGTTGCTGGCAATTCAACGGCCGCTGCGGCTGTTATTAAACACGTTTATTCTAAGTTTTCCCCAAAGCACTTTTTCATATTGCGTTCTGCCATATTTTCGCCATGTTTTGTTGGATTTCGCAAAAATTTCAAATTAAGTTGCAGCCCAGCCAACCAGACCCCAGACCCTAGACCCAGGCCCAGGCCCAGGCCCAGGCCCAGGCGGTAGCCATAGTCGTTCGGTTCCAGGTCTGCAGCTGTAAGTGAGCAACTGAATTGCATCACGTACATGGGCAATTTGCCAGCAGAATAATACAAAACACACACACACACACACACGCAGACAGACGTGCAGACATAGTGTAGCTGTGTCTATGTGAAGGTTGTTGAACGCCGCCCAACTGGCCAAGTGGCTGCGTAGCCTTGCATGGCATGTTATCTTTGTTTTTCTCTTTTTATTTGGCACAGGTTTCATGCTTGAGAATTTGTAAATCGCAGCGCGAAACAATGCCAAAGCATAAACTATATAAATGCGAAATATTTTATATGTATACGTATATATATGCGTGTGTGTATTCCAATGAAAGAAACAGATTACTTTTCATCGCTTTGTCCATGCTGAGCAATTAATCTTGCTCTGTGCCTCGCTCTCTATCTGTCTCTCTCTCTCTCGCTTTTTCGCTTTCTTACTCATACACACACTTGCACTTACCCACAACAATCATGTCCTCGTGACCGGAAACTGTCTGGAACGAAGGCGCCTCGCCGGACACTTCGCACCGATAGCGGCCCGTCGACTGTAGGCTGACCGAGCGCAGGACAACGGCAATGTCCGTCGAGTTTTGCAACTGCAAGCAAAGAGAATTGTTGTAAAATAAACGCATATGTAAAAAGTAAAAGTCAACAGGGAGCACAGAAAACATTGCACATTCGTGGCAACTATAGAAAGTGAAATTTATGTCATGAAAGATTCTGAATGTAAAAAAAGAAGTTGGGGTTCTTTTCAATGTTATCTGGTACATGTATGCATGTTTGTTTTGCATATATGCCAACATTTATGCATACGTACATGTATGAATACATGCGTGGATGCCTACATACATGCATTCAGACATACATACATGCACTCATACATACATACATACATACATACATATACATATACATGCATTCATACATACATACATACATGCATACATACATACATACATACATACATACATACATACATACATACATACATACATACATACATACATACATACATACATACATACCTACATACCTACATACCTACATACCTACATACCTACTCACCCCCGACTTCAATGTCCAAGACGCTTGCCAGGCACTAACTAAAAATGCATCACAAACTGCCGGGCCTGCTTGAATTCTTGAGAATCGAGGAGGAGAGCACTTGGCAGAAATTCGTTTTATTTAAATTTGCAGCACAGCGGCAATAAAGCTTGGTCTGCGTTTGGTATCAGAAAACATACATGCGTACATATATTCATAAATGCATACACTTACACACACAAACACACACACCCACACACAAACGCATATATGCAATATTTAACGAGAAAGATTTGCCTTTAAATTCTTCAAATGCAGAGGAAGAAATTAAAAGTTTGCGATGGAGAACTGAACTTTAATTTAAATGCAAATTTTGAAATTCTACACATTTTCGAACACGAACTGAACAACTCGCAATTGTGTTGGACAGTGCTAAACTTAATGCAGGCACTCGTCGCATATATTCTGAACTATTGACAATTTGGCCTCATTTCGTTGGATCTTTCTGATCATATAGTTTGAGACTTTCGACTTCTTTTTCCTTTTCTTCAGCATCTGCGTCGTCGTCGTCAGCATCGAGCTCATCATCAACATCTTCCTCCTCAATATCATCGATATCATCATCATCGTCGTCGTCGTCGTCGTCGTCGGCATGCAGCGATGAGGCCACCTCGGCCAGTTCGTTCATTTCCTTATCGCTCACCGGCAGAACACTGTCCAGAGCTTCCGGGGTGGTATCGAAGTGCTCCATGGCCGCGTGCAGCTTCATTTGGCTCTCGGCATGCAGAATACTCTGCTGCTTGTCAATCTTGCCCAGACGCAGGCCGGCCTCGATGGGATTGCTTTTCGGCTGGCGCACCATTTGGGCAATCATCTCGATGGTTTCGTCGTGGCTAAGAGGCGGGAAGCATTCCTCCAGCGTCTGCAGCACTTTCGATTTATTCTTTGAGTACATTTTGTCGAGTTCCGAAAATGTAAGCGAACGAGTATATATTTATTTCCTGCCTGCCGTTCTACAGCTTGCTTGTAATTGACTTGGGTAACGTTGACGAGCTTGGGGACTAAATGAAAACTACCTGCCTACTCGATGGAATTCAATCGAGGCGTATCGCATCAACGATCAGATTAGCACACAGACTCACCTCCACATCGACGCCGGGCAGCGGAAACACCTGTCCAGGCGGCATGTCACGTGGCACATAGCGATAGAACTCGAAGCCATCCTTGTACCACTTCACCGAGTACAGCGATTCGCCATCCAGGTCGAATTTGCAGCCCAATACGGCGTCCTCATGCCGCATAATATGCTTCGGGATGCGTATCTCAGTCATAGTCAAGCTCTCCACTAGATAGAGAGAAAGAAGAAGGAGAAATAGTTATAGCAGTTGTTTAAAGAGAGACTAGATGATTAACTAAGCTGGTCTTTTTTGAGCGCTTAAAACAAAGACTTCGCTTTAGCTCTGGTCCAATGCCAGGGGCCCATAAATAACCCGCAGCAAGTGCATAAAAGTCAAGGAAATCGAAAGAAATTCGCCAAAACAATGCGCTTTTGTTTAGCCCAACAATGCGAACTACCAAAGAATGAAAGCGGCCAACTTGAGGCGTGCGAAACGTGCCGCGGCAAGGGAATCCGTACAGACGTGGCAAGTGGCAAGTGGCAACGGGCAGGAGGCAGGAGGCAAGGAGTTGTGTGCTGTGTGCACTCGAGACAACGAAACGAAACGAAACGAAAAGTTGCTGACTTTTAAACGTACACAAAAGCCCATAGGTAGGCTTAGACAATTTGGGTCAAAGTTATGGCACGAAAATCAAGATATGAAATTAAAATTGCACCAAAACTGAGCGCTGCATAAAAGCTGAAAGAACAAGAAGAAGAAAAGGAATATGCTTAAAGAAAGCTATCAATTCTAGATGGCCCAGAGAATAGTTGAACATAAATTTAAAAGCTGTCAGATATTTATACCCTTGCAGACCGACCCCATAAAGTATATATATTCTTGTTCAGTATCAACAGCCGAGTCGATATAGGCATCTCCTTCTGTCCGTCTGTCTGTTTCTATGCTAACTATTCTCTCAGTTTTAAGGCTATCCTTATGAAACTATGCAGAAGTCCCTCTTTCTGTTGCACGCCAATTACCATATCATATAGCTACCATAGGAACAATCGCTCGAAAAGTAGGATCTTGTATGAACAACATTTTTGTTTATTAAGATATCCTAACCATACTCGGCATTAACTATTTTCCCTGTGCTCCTTAGATACGGGCAAAGCATTGTGAGCATAATGAAAAGGTTGGGTCTGCAAGGGTATTAAATCGTCGGCGTGCCGAACATAGCCCTTCTTTCTTGATTATGATGCAGTAACTCACAACCGTTCACACGTATCTATTTAAAGCTTTTAATTAATTAAGCTGATATTTTTAATCGAGGCGAAATGAGTTACCACATTTTCCCCAACATTCAAATTGGTCGGAATGGCTTTCAGCTGTGACGTCTGCTCGTGATGATGACAAGTAAGTGCATGGGGGAATTCGTTGACTGGCAACCAATAAAATGGCAATTGAACGTCTGGGAATCAACCCGAATTTACCTTGTAGACTATATGTACGCCGCGCTTTGATGCGAGTTCTATAAATATGTCACAACGTGTGGTGCGTTGACATTTGGCTAAAAATAAATGCACATTTTCATTAAGCCCCCCAGGAAGCGGCAGCATTAAAGCCCGTTGACTTTTTTGTGTTTGAAATAAAACAGGCGCACCGCGTAGCGCCTACCGCCTACCCATTCACCTTTGGCGGCAAAATAAACAAGTGCAAGGCACAATGCACAACAGCAAACTGCCGCCATTGGGACCACAACCAGGACCAGACCCAAACCAGAAGCAGGCACAGAACCAGAGCCAGGCTCAGATGTGCAGCCGGAGCCAGGAAGCGGCGCCTTTGAGTGCGGCTTCCGTTTTTGTTTTTCTTCTCTGGGTGTGCGGCGGACACTTTGAGCCAAGTATTTATGACATAAGTATGATTTAGCATTATGCACTCTCCACTCGCGACCGCCGACCCCCGACCAACGATCCACAACTTAATATTCTGCGCAGCCCAAGTCAAAGAAAATCGCACTACACACACTATAGCCCGCGCTGCCTTTGAAAATATTCTTTAAAAGACTTCTTGAAGCTTTTCTTTGGCATTGCCATTGCTTTCAATCGCCTTTGTCGACTGCAATTGCAGCTTAAATTTTATTTATATGTGACTTGCACTGCATTTTTCATAAAGTAGCTTCTGAGAATTTGTCCACTTTCGAGAACAAAAAGCTGCCAATATATTTAAATTGACTGTAAACATATCCTAAATTTGTTGACATGCTCAGACCAGAGCAATAAGCTGCTTCTGCTGGAAAAATATATAAAATCTAATAACAACAAGCGAAGATTGGGCAGTTGTTGTCGTCGACAAATGTCAAGTGAGAGCTCAGCACAGCTGGTCCAGTCTGGCGGGGGGCGGGGCAAGCTGTCTAATTATTAAGCCAACAACTGACTGAAATTCCAAATTCCATGCAACATGGAAACTTTTGTCATCTAATGCGGCGCTTAATTAACAAGTACCAGGCGGGCAAAAAGTTTTCCATTTGATGTCGTGTAAATGCCAGTGTTACGATCTAAGCACTATTACCTTGATAGAAAGTTGCCACAAAAGTTTCGTGCTTAATTATTGTTGATTTTTAAATGATTTAATTTGCGGCCCGGGGCCAAATGTCAGGCGCAGCCAAAGTCAAATAAAATCGAGTTAGCACGAGTCAAAACAAATTCTGCCACGTGGCCGTGGCAAGTGTCAAACGCAGCAGACAAACAATTCGCATACAGTTATTTGTTTTGAATACTAAACTGAATATTTAATGCCTAACCCAAGGGTTGAATATGCCAGAATATTGCGCATATAAGCGTTCATTGTGGAGAATAAACCAATAACCTTCAACGGAGGCTTTAAATTAAGAACTTTACATGTTCAACATTTTACTCTTTTTTTGGCTGATGTTTTACTGACCTCAGCTTTATTTTAAAAAATATTTTGATGCATAACGAAGCCAAAGGACAAATGCTTTCATTCCTCAGCTTACTATTTCTATGAAGTACGTGAACTATGATGCTAACGGCTTTTGCTAAAGGTTGGAATCCTCAGAAGTCAACATTTTCAGAATTTTTGGCTTGAGCTTTGAGCCAAAAACAAACCTTCAAACTTACGTTTTAAGATTAAAAGCTTGGAAAAAAACAATTTTGAATATTTCCGTAGAAAAAGAAAAAAAGCTAAAAATGTAAATGCAGAAAAACTCAAGAGCTCAAATGTCATCAATCAAGAAAATTTTGGGTATGTTTTGGTGCTTCAGGTTGGGATGTGAAATTGATTTAATACATTATAATGCAGCTGGGATGATAATTTGGACTGATTTTGGCGGCTGGACCGGATGCCAGGCCTTGAGCAAATAGAAGATGTTTTTGCATGTTTCGCAAACGCCTGCAGCATCAATACGCATCAATTTAGGCCCCCCCTTTCAGGCTTTGGCCCCAGCCGGGACAGACAGACAGACGCCTGGAACGTGCTTTATCTGCAATCAGAAGCGGAAGTTTGTCTCAGTCTACAGCGAGAGCAGCAACAAAAACAACAACAACAACGAGGACATGCCGTCCATTGTCTATGTCTCACTGTGTATGTCCTTGTCTGTGCCCCAGTAGTCTGTGAGCCTTTCGGTGTATGTCTGTCTGTCAGGCTCGTTTTCTTTGACGATGAGTGCGTTCTTTTTTGTCCCATTCCAGTTGTTGTTGTTATTATTTTTGTTGTTGCTGTAAATGGAGCACGTTCCTCGATGCTTTGCTGCATTGCAGGCGCACTTGCATTTGCATATTTCGTGCGTCCCGCAGAATTGGTAGGGGGTCAGCTGGAAAACTTTGTCATCGATTTGAAGCCAGCTCATAGAAATGGCAAAAGCAGCGTATTAATCGCAGCCACAAACTTTTTATTCCCAAGCCAAACAAAACTATGCCTTGTAGTTATGCTTGTCATTTGTCTATTTGCCTTATGGAGTCGCTTTGCATATCTAGGCCAGACATATTCTTTCCATATGTTTTTTACTTGCACACAATTCTTGGGGCCACATTCTGATACAAGATTGATAAACACAATTTGAAAATTCTGTTAACTATTCCCTGATGATAGAGTGCCCAGATTAGCTGGCATAATTAATACAAATTAATAAAACAAAAATAGCTTAGCTCATGTGAAATTGGGTAGAAAATAAATCAAAGCAGCTGTGACAATGTACAAATTGTCATTGTCAAGTTGTCGGCAGCCAAATGCAACAATGCCTATTTTCTTTAATTAGGATATCAATTAAATCACGCACACACACACACAGAGAGACATGAACAGTTGTTATAATATAATTAAAATTCATTTCGACTTGTAAATTGGCTGGCGGCAAAAACTGCACACAACTCACAACCCGAGCGCCCAGCTCATTCATAACAATAATAACAAGCCTTATCAAATCGATTAATTTAATTAAATTGAAAACATCAATTTTGCTTACTATGATTAATTACATGCCCAGTCGAAATTTGGCACACGTCTGTGGCAACATTTAAATTATTGTTGCATGTTTTTCGGCGTTAAGTGAAAAGCTTGAATATCATATTTCAAAAATATGCCACGTATTCAGTGCCTCGTTAGTTAAAGCTATTTATATTGCCTAAACGCCTACAGCTGATTAAAGCTGCGTTCTTTCATATATCTGATGAAGTTTGCCCAAGCCCAGCTCTGGCAATTGTTCTGCGTGTCGTTTAACATTAGTTTCATGTGCTGCCAATAAATAAAACAAGTAAGAGGTTCTAGTCGGGAGTTCCCGACTAGGGGATACCCTGAACCCTCTTCTTCCAACATCAAATGCATATATATATTCTATTTTAGAAGCTATATGTCAAGTTTGGTGACTCTAGCTCTTATTATTTACCAAAATTGGCCAAAAAACAGGATATCGATATCGATTTTTATCGATTGCTTGGAAACGGAGTAAGTTATCGATTATCGGAAACAAACTCGATCTGCGCAGGCACTAGGATCACCTACATCAAATTTTTCTAGCTCTTATAGGTTTTGAGATCCTTGCGTTCATACACACGGACAGACGGACAGACGGACGGGCGGACAAACGGACATGGCTAGATCGACTCGGCTATTGATGCTGATCAAGAATATATATACTTTATGGGGTCGGAGAAGCTTCCTTCTGCCTGTTACAAACATTTGGCTTTTGCACAAATACAATATACCCTTATACCCATTTTTAATGGGTTCA